CAAAGCGGGTCCAATCACATTACAGCTTTGTGTTGTAATGGAAGTTCTTTATGTTCTCATGCTGACCCATGCTCTGCCTTCGTCCACCACATGGCCTTCTCGTGATTTGCCTGCGCCCATGTCATGACCCAACAACAATGCCTGAATGGTAGTACACTCAGTACTTTCCCCCCCCCCCCCCCCCCCAAGTAAACTTAGGCCACAAGGCTACGGTGGTGTGACTTGGGACGGCTGGGTCCGCAATTTGTTGATTCTATGTCAGTGCGTAACAAAGGAACCATAAGTCCCAGCTATCTGTTGTTGGCTAAGGTTGACCCTGGGAGGAAGGAGACTGCCTCCCTTCTCCTGGGATACTTCTGAATTGTATATTCTCTTTATGCAAACTCGGTTTGGGGCTCTCACTCTCTGACAGGCATTAGATGCACGTCATTTTGTGGGACCCATCAGCTGATGTTCTTCTTTGATTATTTTTCTCTTCTTACTTTGTTATTATTTCCCTATTAAAGAATAAACCAAATCATTTTACTATTAAGTCAAACGGTCTGATCATTGAGAGTTCAAGATTTTCCACCACAGTGTGCCGTACTAGAAGCAGTGGAATGTCGAGTTTAACACCTCAATGATAGAAACATGGAGAAGCTGATGAATGTGATTTCAAACTCTGACCTCCCAGTGTCTCTCTGCTGTACTGCCCGCGTCCGGCTGCTAGGTGGCGCACCAGGTGGAGGACGCCGTGTCTCTGGGGGCCCGGGTCTTGAGGGGAGGGAAGCGCGGGGAGGGGTCCTTCATGGAGCCCACCCTACTGGCGGACGTTACCACGGAGATGCTCTGCACCCGCGAGGAGACTTTCGGACCCCTGCTGCCCGTCATCAGGTCTAGACCAATAACAGCAGAGCAACGACCTTGCTGCAGTAGCCTTGACAACCAACAACAAATGAGATATATATATATACATATATATATATATATATATATAGTTGTGAATACAAGTATTGATAATGATTGTGTGTAGGACAATTAATTGAGTAAAGTTTTGTGTTCTGCAGGTTTAACACAGAGAAAGAGGCGCTGGCTATCGCTAACGCATCCAACGTGGGGCTAGCAGGTACATTTACATCTACTATTCACAAACTATTTAAATCCAACAGGAGCACGTTCACTAGTGCTAAAGCGCCACACCTGTCACTGGTGTTTGAAGACATTGGGTCCTTAAACCTGGAGGGTGGGGAGTGTCTTAAAACATGGTCTCTATTATTTACGTTATGCCATTTAGCAGACGCTTTTATCTAAATTGACTTACAGTGAATTCAGATGCATGTCATTCAGGAGCAGGGAGGCGGGGCTTAGGGGCATCTCTCTCAAGAATGCCTATAGGCTAGTTTGCAGACAGTGGGGTTAGAACCCAGGACCTTTCGGCGGGGAGTCCAAAACACCCAGTTGCTAAACAGTAGATAATTAATTGTATGTATATACAGATATACAGTATATACAGACTGTTTATGGCTGTTGTAACCTGTTGCATTTGCACTTTAGGCCCCTGCTGTTTATTTATTATTTATTTGTTTGTACAGTGTACATTATTGGCACTTTGAATCATATCTTATCTTGCGGTAGGTCCCTTTGATCTTCCCATGATGACACGTTATATGTTACATGTTATTTGGTGTTGTCTATTTGTGTATGTGTTTGAATGTGTGGATCTTCCCGGCTGCAAATCAATTTTCCCTGTTGGGACAAATAAAGACACTTTGATACTTTGACCCTGACCCCTAGACTATCCTACCCTGGTGGTCTCGAAGCACATTTCCCCGGCTGGACAGTAAAGTCGCGTTCCGTTCTAAAGCCACTCTCCACTTTTCACGCTGGTGAGAAATGAGCTTAACTGTTGCAGGTCTTCTCTAACCCTGGTGTCGCTCTCTCTCTCTCTGTCTTGTCCCCTGGCAGGCTACTTCTTCTCCCAGGACGTGAGCCAGATCTGGCGGGTGGCGGAGGCCCTGGAGGTGGGCATGGTGGGCGTGAACGAGGCGCTGCTCTCCACCCCGGAGGGGGCCTTCGGGGGGGTGAAGCAGTCGGGTCTGGGCACCGAGGGCTCAAAGTATGGCATCGACGAATACCTCGACGTCAAGTACATGTGCTTCGGCGGGCTGGAGGCCTGATTGTCGTCGTGGCAACAGTTGGGGGGGGGGGGGGGGGGGGAGGTTGCGGCCTCCGTGACAACCTATCGTCGAGGTAGCAGGGGGGTCATGGGCCTTATTACACTAAGCGGAATTCAGTTCCCCCCACCACCCAGCTGGCGTTTGGATCCAAGATGGCTGCTAGGCGAATAAGGAATACAGTTTAGCTAAAATTGCGCTCGCAGGCTCACGGTGGGTTTAATAGCGATAACAGAGCAACTGAAAATTAGACTTGAAATCTTGAGTCATCTAACTGGAGCCTACAGGATAAAAACAATAATATGTAAGGGAAAATTGTCTGTTTGGTTCTACGGTTGGAAAACTGCGTCCATAGCAACGGTCTGTTATTCATAGCAGCGTTCTGCTGTTCAGATATAACAGACGGTAGAATGCCATAGTTTTCCAATCATAATCGAGTATTTAACAAAGCTGTGTAATAATGTGGGATAATACGTGTGCATGAGATGTTTAATGCTCAGATTTTAGTCTTGATCAGTATTTTTGTACAAAAGAAATAGACAAATGTTTAAAAAATGAATAGGAAAAACTATTGAGCATTCTGGTAGTTATTTTCTAAAACTAGGGTGTGCGTAGGTATATGATTTATTAAACTTGAGGTCAAACTTTTCCCACAAATGAAAACAAACTAGTTGGTGTATACATCCGTCCCCATGTTCCCTCTAGTTTAACCTTTGACCTCTCCATGTGCCAAGATGACCCAGGCCACGTGTCTGAACGGGTCAATAATAAGTCATCGAAGATTTACAGCCTAGATGTCCTCACCACTGTTAGTCTTCAAGTTCAGCTCTGTCCTAATCTGAACTTGTTGTTGATTGTTTTGTATCATGTTGTATTGTTAATGTGGATGCAATATGTGATGTAATTTAGACACTTTGTATTTCTAATGTTTCTATGGATGGAAAAAATTATAAAGAAATATTTTGATATTTTTGATTTTTTTTCTGGTGGACTTAGTTATGTCCACAACCTTGTTGTGGACATAACAAGGTTGTGGACATAAAGAAAAGTAACGTTTATAGGACTATTGGGTTATATTAAAGCATTGGATTAATACATAACCTAATGTACAAAGTAACTGAGAACACAAGCTATTTAATATATAACCGAATAGTCAAGTTTATGATTATTACTAATTTATTATACACTTTGTAGTGCCCCGGGTCAAGGTCTCCATGACAACAGTATGTCGACACCGGTATGAACCAGATCCTGTAGGGTCTCATTATGCAGGATTTAAAGTGTAATCCTTTATTGAATAATTTCCTGTTACAAAACCAGAGTTTGCGAGTAACCGGGGCAAAACGGCGGTAGCATCCAGTTTTAGTAGAACACGAGTCTGAATATTCTCTTGGTTTTTACACTGCAAAGCATGCTAGCAGTTAGCTTCCGGCTAACACCAAGGAGATCTTGGTGTCGGTTTAGCGCTAGAAAGTAAACACACTTGTAAGTACAACTTACTTAAGTACGAGCTGAGTACTAGCTAGAAGCACAGACCACAACCATAGACATCTCCGACAGTCATATGACCTGCAAGTCCATTTCCCAAGATGCAGCTTGAGGGTGAAAAGGAGCGTACCCCGACATAACCCCACCTGAGTCTGTACTTTCGATCCTGACCACGCCCCCCCACCCCCGAGTAAAACCCAGCCAGGTAAGCACCTTCTGGCCAATCACATTCCTCCTGGTGGTTTGTTCTCTCACAGTGCGGCCCCACTGTACACAATGCCAGGGGTTTGGTAACGCGAGGCAACGCTGCACTCTCACTGCTGCTTGTGGGAGTTTACTACATTTCCGATGGGAGTGTTTGACTGTCGCTGCAGATTGCATGCCAAACCACAATTTGCATAAAGTTAACCGAAGTTACATTTTTGTCCCACCCACTTTTCACGCACAACCTGTCCCATTATCCTTTGCGCCATGCGCTATCGCACCTAATATGAAGTCAACAGTGCGCGTTGCCTCACATTGTCAATCATGTGACATCACATCCAGCGGGGGCACACTGCCAGGCCCAAAGCAGCGCTTGCAGCAGACGGCGTTATTTATTTACATGCTTCGCCTCCAGCTGTGTGTTCTTAGATCTTCAGGATCAGACTGGTTAGTGTCAGACCTGCTGAGTCCACCAATCACTGTCCAGGTCTTACCAGGTCCGTGTACTGGGGGCGGGTTAGACCTGAGCAGGTGGGGAGTGGGTCTTGGTCCTGGTGGTCTAGTAGTTGACCCCTGGGTTGACTTGCTAACCGAAGGCATTTCCGTTGCTTGCGGCAGCCAGTGCCAGGGCTCGTCCCCGGCTGCGGACGGGCCGGTCGCGGCTGAGTGTCCTGCTCACTGTCCAGCTCCGACTCTGACATCATCAGGCTGGAGGCGTGCTCCGTACTGCGATGCTTAATACCTGAGAGAGGGAGAGGGCGAGGTGAGCAGACAGACAGGTGAACAGAGACAAACAGACAGGTGACCAGTCTCACCGTGTTTGGGTCGTAGCTCCACTCTCTCCTGGTCGTCCATGTCGTCCAGTATGGTGTATTTTGTTTTCTTCCTCACCGTGCTCCTTTTCCTCCTGAAATATTAAGGCAGGACTAAAGGTAGGAATTTGTATTGCTGTGTTGTTTGTATTGTTGATTTGCGTTGTGGTAAATTAACTGCATTTACGTAGCACTTTCCTGATCTTTGGCCTCTCAAAGCGCTTTACAATTTGTGCCTCACATTCACCCACTCATTAACACATTCATACACTGACAGCGGTGTATGGGAGCAGGGTTACATTGGGTAAGGGTAAGGTGTCTTGCTCAGGGACACATCGACATATGGGTAGGAGGAGCTGGGATCGAACCAGCAACCTCCCGGTTACCAGGCGACCTGCTCCACCACCTGAGCTACTGCAGTGGCTACAGTGGCTTCAGTTTGTGACATGACTACTAGCGGGGTGCTTAGAGGAGGCATGCTGTCTGTAGTGATGGTGGTGGAAATGTTATTAAAGATGTGGGTGGGGGGGGGGGGGTTGCTATGGTAACCTACCTCCTACAGCAGCAGAGCAGAGACCAGCTGATCATCAGAACCAAGATCAGAGCCAGAAAGCTGGACATGACTACATAGAGGACCCTCCACTCTGGAGGACACACACACAACACACGGACACAAAACCTGGTTAAATAAAGGTATATCTGGTCCATTGCTTAAAATAATTTAACATTATCACAACATCAAAAAGTTATTTAAGTAAGTAATTGTAATAAGGTTTACCACAGTTCCTCTCTCTGTCGCCAAAGTAGCGGCGAATGAGGTTCTCCGTCCAGAAGGGGTCACAGACACACTCCTTGGTGATTGGATCACACTGGCCCCGCCCAGAACACCGCAGCAAACAGACTGTGGTGTCACATGACACCAATCACATGACAACTGAGATTAGTCACATATGTTAACCGCACAATACAGGTGATATTTCCAGTGTATAGTGATATTTCCAGTGTCTAGGGATATTTACAGTGTCTAGTGATATTTACAGTGTGTCTAGTAATAACTGCTACTTACAGACAGTGTCGACTCGGAGGACCCTGAACAGCAGGTAGTCTGTCTTTTCCCTAAGCAGCTGGTTCCTCAGAACCTGGACCAGCTTGGACCCGGGGAGCGGACCCTCCGGACCCCGCACAGAGAGACGCAACACTGCACTGTGGGTAGCACACACACACATTAACTCTACATGATTCCACCTAATCTGAAGGAGTATAATCTAGTGGGAGGGTTTTAGATGAGGTGGGAGGGGTCTACCTGAACTGGAAGGGGTCTAGAAGTGGGCAGGATAAATTAAATTGGTGAAGGGTCTACCTGTGGTGGGAGGGGTCTGGTGGGAGTGGGAGCAGTCTAGTTGAAGTGGGCGGGGTCTACCTGAGGTGGGAGTGTCCTGGGAGGATGTGTAGCTGGATGTTGTTGTCGAGGACGTGGAGCAGAGCAGCCAGCTGTCTGATCACCGTGTCCCTCTGGGCCACGCTCACCTGGGACACCCCCACCAGTACCTCAACATCCACCTCTTCCCGCGCCACAGGGTCTGACACACACACACACACACACACACACACACACACACACACAACCAGGATGAAATTATGCCAGTTGCCGATATCTCCAACTAGTCACACCAGAGACGTCACGTGTTGAGAGTAGCATCAGTGCAATTAGTGACCCTAACCTGGGCGGACCTCCACGGTTGCTGTGGCAACGCTGCCTCGCCCCTGGGCGTCGGTCACACGTAGCTGGAACAGGTAGGTCCCCTCCACCAGGTTGGACAAGTGCAGCGACGCCTGGGTCTGAGAGCCATACAGCACATCCTGGATGGAAACACCAGAGGGTTCTGTCATCACGGTGGTGACAGAACCCACTGGTGTTTCCACGTCACTATGGCGATGGGGGTTATTCACAAAATGGCAGTTGGGTGGGGGAACTGAATGCAAAGCTACTGCTTTGATCCAATTTGATCCAATATGGCCACTTTGGCTTATTCTGAAGCGCCGCCTCTAGGTTTTGCTTGTTACACTGTGTATAGTGTTTATACATGCTGATATCTAGTGTTTATTGTGATATGAACACTGTAGATATCAATTGTTTTGCTTGTGTTACTGAGAGATACATACGTTACATATGATTATTTAGAGATTTTGAGAACAGTGTCGCTTTTGTTTCTCACCTGGGCTTTGTGCTGTGAAGTATTCAGTCAGAACCAATTACCAGTGCTATTTTACTATTTCTGTCATTTATCAGATGCTTTTATCCAAAGTGACCTACAGTGAATTGAGATACATGTCATTAAGGAGCAGGTAGGGGTTGGGCATCTTGCTCTAGGAGGCCTACAGACACTGCAGACTGAACCCAGTACTTTTGGGCTGGGAGTGGAATAGCCTAAGCCTCATTAGACTACCCTGACCCCACTTACAGGAGGGGTCAGGCGTGGACTCACCCCAGCTGCAGGACTCTGGGAGTCCCGGACCCAGAGGAAGTGGACCTGGGTCTGGTCGCCGTCGGTAACGGAGCCTCTCAGGACCAGGGAGTTGTTGGGGAGAGTGAGGGTGTGACTCCCGCTGGCGTGGGCTATGGGGGGCAGGACTCTGTCTGGGGGAGGTTTATAGCATCACACTGTTTAAAGACACCACCAACTTCCCTATAGAACATACAGGTTTGAATGACAGAGAATAACGATATATCAACTGCTATCATACTAACACTATGTCGGCCAATGTGGCCGACATAGCCCTTTAAAATACCTTTTGCCCTTTAAAATACACAGCTTTTATCCTTTCCCTTTGAACATGCATTTTAAATGTGAGTCTTCAGTTGTATATATAATGACGCCATCACCTTCGTGATCATAAATGGGAGGGTCCATCCAGTCTGTCACTGGTGGACTGTACCAACTAGTAGGTGGGTAGGCTGATCTCTGTCAGACCTCACCTTCCTCCACCCTGACGGTCAGCACAGCGCTGTCTGTCGCCCCCTGCTGGTCGCTCACTGTCAGTCTGAACGTGTAGCGCCCCACCCGCAGGCCCGTCGCCGTAGCAACCGCCCTGTCAACACCCTCCATCTTTAACCCCGGGGGGGCCGCTGGGAGAGACACAAGACAGGGACACAACAGACAGTTGTGTCTACAGTCTTCACAGTTTTACTTTTGATCCTCACATTCGGTCTACAGTTGTTAAGAGTGATTTGCTTTTATTTTCTTTTTATTCATGTCTCACTCCTTTCAATGTATGATTCCCTACCTCTCTAGAGAGGCAATACATAGTGCTATGTTATACTAACCTAATAAACTCGCAACAGAGATCAAAATACAATAGAATAAGAAGTGTAATCGTATGGATCAAAATAGAATAGAAAAGAATAGAATAGGATAAAATAGGATACAAGGGAATAATAGAAAAGGAAAAAGGATAGAAAGTGAGATCCCTTGGCACAATCAGACAGTTATTGCTAAACCCTTTGTGTGCTCCCTGTGGAGCGATGCTCGTGATTGGTCACTCTTTAACCAGAGGGTCAGAGGGCAAGGCCAACGTATCCCCTCTCTCTCCTCCTGTCCTTCCAGGTTTAGTGCAACCAGGTAGGGATAGGGGTTTTACCTGGTGGCGTTCCAGTGGTAGTGTACGACGGCTTGGTCGTCGTGGCTGTCGCTGCCGTCCAGAGTGAAGCTACTGACGGGCAGAACCAGCTTCCTGTCTGGACCCACCACCGCCACCGGGCCACGGTTCATCGCCCCCTCCTCCAGGGACACTGGGGACTTGGACTGAGAGGAGAGGAGGAGCATACAGTAGCAGAGGGAAGGAACACAGTCCTACCACATGGAACAGATCATCCTTCAAACGCTATTTACTCACTGAATATTCACAAATGTTTTCCGTGCAGTTCCAGAGTGATGTATGTTTGTATTTTTTTGTTTTTTTCTTGCTGGATGGAGCTGAGGGCATGACGCATTGGCGTGATGTAAGAGGCCTGGTATGTGTATAGACGGCATCTAGGGTGTAAAGGAGGACTGTATTGTCTGATCTAGTTGAACTTTAAACAATTGTGTGTCTATATATTATTTAATTATTTAATTTTCTGTATTATTTTTTTGTGTTTTTTTAGTTTTTTGTGCAGGGTTTTTGTGTTTATTTTGGGGTTATCCTGTTTTGTTGCGTTGTTGTTTTTGAGGTGTTGTTTTATACTCCTACTAAATAACTTACAAGTGCAATTATTTTGTAAATGCTGGTTACATTGAAAATCCAATAAACTATTTTTTTTCACAAATGTCTGTTTTTGCTGTGTGATAGTTTGGGTATGTTGGATGTACCCATCACGGTGGTGGCGATCATCTGCGGAGCAATGGGGGTTGGAGAGGTCACGGTGAGGTCATCGTCATGTCTGGGAGGCAGAGGGTTGGTGGGGTCAGAGGTCGAGGGCTGGGCTGAAAAGGGGGTCTCCGCAGTGGGTTGACTGGTGTCGGTGGGAACGACGAGGACGGTAGCTGCAGTGGAGTCGGAGGATCCAGCAGAGTCTGTCACTGTCACTCTGAACACGCGACAGGAGACAACGCATAAAACGGTCATGTATCACTTAGGGTCAAGGTGATAAGAGCAAAAAGGCGAGTTGACCTCACTCTTCTCGGGAGCAGTTGGGATAGGGCTCCCACACAGTTATGGCAATAAGAGTACTGCAGAAATTACACATTGTCAGGATTCTAAGGTAACAAACGTTTATGCATATTGTAATTTTCCATTACAGTCTGTTTCAATATCTTTTATTAATAAATCGTAACTACATTGCTCTTTAAGAAGTCTCCACTAACTGAAAGCACTAAATTATAAAATTAACTCAAATTAACTAACAGTGTGGCCCCAGTGTAGCAAGCCTGTGCTCCCCAGCCCTCTGTTGTTGTTGCTTGTGGGAGTTCACAAAGTTGCCAATGAAAACCAGGAAATTAAATTTCAGTTGGCCAGTGCTCACTTGAATGTTGATTGTCCAATCAAAAGGCAGAACACGTAACATACGAGCATACATTTGCATAAACACTAAACAACCTGGTGCACTAAAGCGAGCTGTACCGTGAGTGTTTGTTTAGGTTCTGAGCACCTTGTCCTGTCCAGTACCTGAAGGTGTAGTTCCCAGTCTCCAGGTGTGCCAGGTAAAGACTCCAGGTGTCAGCTGACCTCCCCAGGTGAACGGGGGGTCCACTGATCTGCTCCCACTCACAGCTGAGCAGGCCATCGCCTTCGCTCTCTGAAGCAGCCAAACACACGTTTTATTATTATTATTATAATTAATATTTACACCTTCCAACCACACCAGAAGTCTCACTGTACTATCATTAGTAACATTCCAATGAATTCAGATACAGGCCAAGGAGCAGGTAGGGGTTAGGG